TTTGCGGATACAGACTAACACGGCTGCTACTCTGAAATTGACAGCATTGTCTGCACAGTCCTGTACTTAGAAAACTCAAAACCTTGGTACTATTCTGTTTAACTCCCCTCACAGTTTATAGATTTAAAAAAATGTTGCTTACTTACAAAAAATTTCAGATGATTCTCTTTTGACCATCTGACTAAAAAGTGAGCTCCTGTTTTGGTCTGTTTAATTGCATGAGAGAGCCATACAACTGCTTTCAAACACTTTACTCAACCACAATTATCTGCACATGTAATTGTTTTGCACTGTCAACCTTGTAAAAGGTAGGGGAAAAGATTTTGTGCATGACCTGGTAAGTTTTTGTGATCATTTTGCAAAGCTGTTATACAGTGCAGTATAAGAAGGAAGGTTAAAATCCAGAATTGCTGCTACTTTCATGCTACTGAAAGTCTTGCTACTTTTTCTTGAGTTTCCTGATATTAAATGAAGGATTAACGTAGCCACTTCTCTGGATGGATGGTTGTAGTTGGTTGTCTTGTACAAACTAGAGTTTGAGTTTTATATAAAGAACTGAAATGCCTTACCAGATTGTGTGTCAAACTCTCTTGATTGGAAAAAAAATTAGTTTTTTCTCCTCTCTACAGGGTACTGCTTGCAACTATCTGGCTGAAGAGTTGGGAGAGCCAGATCCTTAGACCACCTGATATTTGATGGCAGGATATTTTTCAGGTTGCTTGTTCAGCTGCAGAAAGACATCTTGTTGCATGAACCAGAACAGAATAGAAGAAGATAGAGCAGCCTGGCTGTGTTTGCATGGGGGCATTTTACAAAGTATACTGAAATACGTTCCTTGTCTTACATCTTGCCTTGTCTGTTCCCCTCAAGTTCTTTGGAGACAGCGGTTCAGGTATAGAAGAGCGTGGCGAGAGGTGAAAACAAGATAGGAAGGATTCTTGAGGAAAGTGGGACTTCAGGAGGTAATGAGGCATTTGTTACACAAATGAGCCAACCAAAGGAGCTGCATGTTGGAAGGTGCAAAACTGAGGGTGGGAGGAGAGGAAGAGTAAACTGGTTGGAGTAGAGCCCAGTTCAAAAATTCAGCCAGTTGTGCTATTCTATAAAGCCTTGAAATGAGTGTGAAATAACTTAATTTGCGATGGTAAAAGACTAGAAACCGTGTATTTAAGAAGGATATTGGGTGATGTGGTTGGAGAGACTAGAGAGTGTGTGGAGTGGACTGGATCGCATACACCTTACTCACAAGTAAGGGTCTGTAAAACCTTGCTTCAGTGATTTAACAGTTTTGAGCACTGAGTGAAACAGTCTGCTTCACTCGGTGTACATATCAATGGATCATATAGAATGAGGCAGTGTTATAATCCGATGATGTGCATTGGCACCTCATTCCTGATCTCAAACTTGTTCTTTCCTTTTCAGAGAACTAAGGTTTATTTACAGGACTGAGGCTTCATGAACAGGCCCAGGTTCAAAGACTGCCCAGATGATAGCTCATGCTCCCTGTCTCCAATGAAAAATGTTCCACAACCTTTCTTTTATTAAGAATATTTTTACTGGCACAGTCTCTCCCTTATGCCTTTATGAAGCGTGATGACAACACAGACTTCCTTATTCATTGCACATATTATCAAATCATATAACATGAGGCAGCACTTCTATGGCGTGCTGACTCATTCCATCTGCGCCTTCACAAATCATCCGGCATGTGCACCTATACATTAAAATAAAATGTGATCCAATGTACACATACACAAAGTAAGACTCCAAGATGTGTTTGTTTTTTGCCCTTAAAACATGGTCAAGTCAAACCTGATTTTTTTTCCCCCACTGTACCACCAAATATACACACATCGGGCTAATGTCCCTGTCAGACCTCAAGCTTCTACTGCCTCTAGATGAAGTACAAGAGAAGCTTTTAACTAAGGCCTGGTCTACACTTTGGGGCTAAGTTGCCCTAAGTTACGCAATTCCAGCTACGTCACTAGCTTAGGTCGATTTATTGCAGTGTCTACACCATGCTGGGTCGACGGGAGAAACTCCCATTAACTTACCTTACGCTTCTCTTTCCGGTGGAAATGATCTGCGGTCGATTTAGCGGGTCTTCACTAGACCCGCTAAATCGACCCCCAGTGGATCAATCACTGCAGCATCTATCCCCAGTAAGTGTAGAGATATACCCCTAAGTCACACTTCTGTTTTTCTTCCTCTTCACATGGGAGAAGTGTACCTTTTCACTCCCAAACTGATGCACTGTGTATGCTCAGGCTTTCAGAAATATGTGCCCTTGGACTGAACACACAGAAAATTTCAGCTTGAGAAGTAAGTTTTTGAGAAAGTTAGAAACTAAGACACTATATAATGGAAATTATTGTGGCCTTTAACTACAGACATCACCATACCCAATTCAGCAAAGCAGGTAGGTACATGCTGTAAATTTAGCATATGAATAATCCTAATTCTATTCAGCAAAACACTGAAGTGTGATTAAAATTAAGTGCTTTGTTGAATACAGACCATAATGAGCAATTGGGGATTTGGTCGTCTTAAAATACTTATTTGTCCATCAAAAATCTTTTTCCCATTGATTTGATCTGAACATGGCATATATCACTTGAGAACTCATTATCTGAAAAATATCAAAGTAGCCTTAGTTTCTTTCCAAATAGGGTAGCTGGGAACTAAATAGTTTTTTTTTTTTTTTAAATCAGGGAGGTTTATTTTACATAATTCATATGGGTAAGTTTCCTTTAAAAATATTGTCAGTGGTAAGTGATGTTCAAAAAGGGGAATTTTCTTTCTGTATACTCCTTATTTTTTTGGCAAAAACCAGCTGGAATTTTACTTTCTTTCATTCTGAACAGAGAAAAACAATTGTCATACTGGTACTGAGGAGGAGGAGGAAAAATGCAACTAGCCGTAGGCACTGAAATGTGACTTGGAGATATGTCCCCCGGGTTTTATAAAAAAAAGTCACTCAATTTTGTATTCTTCATGCCTTTTATTATGAACTGGCAAACAGTGACCATAATTACATAATTTATTGATTGTATCCAATCATAACACAGGCCATCAGTTATCCCAGTGTTCAGCATATAAATTATGTTGTTTATTGTTCTGGTTTTGCTTGAGGAAAATGCAAGTTTTTAAACTCTCCTGTGACATGCATTTGAATTGACCTTGGTTGCTCATTAATTGGTGTTGATTCTAGTGACTGGAGAAACTATATTGGTAATTTAGAAGTACAACTGTAATAAGGCTATTTGGTTAGTTACTTTGTGGATGGGGAAATGGACAGAATGAAATATAATCATTTCTGCTTCGCACAGGTTCAAATAAAGATTTTTTTTTCTTCCACTGAGTGCTGAGGTGACTTTTATTAGTGTACTGTTCTCATTGCAGTTTTTGGATTGTCTTGAACAAATACAAGATTTTTATGTGAGCAGGCAAAAAAATGATATTGTTTAACATATAACTTTCAAAATGTGACTTACATTGTTGAAAATGAATAGTAGGCATTGCTAACTTGGTTTATTAAATACTGCAGTTTTATTCCCTATTTGTATTAAAAGTTTAACAAAGATTAGTTTGTACTATTAAGCTTATTTTGCGGTTAGGAATCTAATTTCTGCATTGAAATGACAGTAACCATTTAATCAAATATCAACTCTTTTTTGCAAACTGGTTTAGTTAATTGATTTTAAAACTTTGAACAGTTTTCGCTCTGTCTTCTTCACATCATTTGTTAATTCCCCAAAGGTATCAAAAAACTCTTCCATTTCCCTCTGGAGCATTTCATTTCTTCTTTCTGCATCTTCCCGTGCCCTCTCTGCATTTCGCATTTTAATCTCCACCAGACTGTACCACTTCCGTTGCTGACCCAGTTTTGAATGCAGATCCTTAATCTCCGATTGCAGCTCTTTGTTCCGCTGCTCCAGGCTGTTTGAAAGATAGACGTTACAATTTATAGGGCTCTCTTTCCTGTCTCTGTTTCATGAGAAACCTAGATTTTTAAAAACCATTTGGATTTTAAGCATGTGATACTATAAATAGAAGTGTGTAGAGAGGCACTTGTTATCCCCAAAGCAAACTATGTTAGGTCCCCCTTCAACATGTTGCTGATGCATTTCTCTCCCATCATCTTCATGATTTGTCCAGTTTCTGCAGCTCAGTGAGTTAATGTACCAAACCTGCTTACAAAATTGTCTTTCCTTTTCAAAGGTAAAGGCAATTCTCCATTTTATACTCATGCTGGTATACCTTGTATTGCAGTGTAAAAAGCAATTTTGTACATTTCCTGCACAAATACCCAAATGCTTTGACTTAGGTTGTGTGCAATTCCTCTAATATTAAGAGTTATGGAAGAGGAGGGCTATAAGTCAGTGTATAGTCTTCTCTTAGAACCTATATGCGGACCCACTCCCACAAACAAACAGTTGGATTTTACATCATATTTCAGTGGAATATCACAAGTGTTCAGGATCCTTGCACACCCTCTGTATCTAATGCTGAAAACATGAACAGCTATCAAAATCATTAACCCCTTTGAAAGTGGGACTATCCTATGAAACTCAGAAACTTCCAACAAATCTTCAATATCAGGCAGGTTGCACTTCCTCGCCTTTATTTTGAGGGCAAATTTAAATATCCCCATTTAAAAGTCACTAAAATAATTATTTCAAGGTATATCATCATTTAACTAAATATTCCATTTGGATAATTTATCTGAAATTGTATAGCTAACTAATTAGTGATTGCATCTGTTTAGAAGATCTGGGTATTTTTTGTATAATAAACAGGTGGCATTGTTCAACTGACTGAGCACAGACTTAGGAGCTGCTGCATTCTTGTTCTAGGTCTACCTTTGACTCACTAAGCGGCCTAAGGTAGGTTACTTTCCCTGTTGCAAAGAATTTTCCTTTAAACTTTGTAAACCGCTGTGTCAGTGCTTAGTATTATGATTGTTCATATTCTGGTTTATTTCCCCCCAACCCCAAACCGACCCCCCAAAGTACTGCTCTTCATGCTGACTGAAAGTGTGTGTGTGGGGGGGAGTGGGGGTCAGGGAGGAAATTCCACAGTAGACTACAGATTGTTATTTATTTATTTTTTAAATCTTCGTTCTCCCAAGAAATTTTAAATGCTTTGACATTTTCCAGCCAGCTCAAATGATACTGGCTTCTATTAATTTTAAATAAATGACACTAGCCTAAACCCTGTAACATGAGTCAAAACTGGTCTCTTGTAAATACTGGACAGTGAGAAACATTCACTTTGAAATGTGAAAAGACATTATTGCAATAAGAACAGGAGTACTTCTGGCACCTTAGAGACTAACAAATTTATTAGAGCATAAGCTTTCTCGGACTACAGCCCACTTCTTCGGATGTTTGTCTCTAAGGTGCCACAAGTACTCCTGTTCTTTTTGCGGATACAGACTAACATGGCTGCTACTCTGAAACCTGTCATTGCAATAGTGTCCAAGGACCCCAGTTGGGGACCTCTGCCTCTTGGCAGTAAGCACAGTACACACAAACATCACAAAGTCCCTGCCCCAGAAAGCTCATAGTCTAAGATTCCTTACCTTGTAATTTTAGCTTCATACTCTGCCTTCTGCCTGGACGTCTGCTTCTTTAGGCTGACAAGATGGTGTTGCACTGAAGTTGAATTTGCTGAGAAGTCATTGGCAGTAGGAGATGCTTCACTGCTGTTGTCTCCTGGGCCACATCCCAAGTTTTCCTGTAGCCCCAAAACATTGGAAGTGACTGTGTTAGTTTCTTGGGACTCTTCTGGGCAGGTAGACCTGGTTAAATATCTTGAAGTCGGGTGTTCTTCAAACATAATTTCACACAGGGAGCCAGTCCTGGATCCCTGACCAGTATTGCTCGTTCCCTGCTGGCTTTGCAAAAGTATCCGTTCCGTTTTGTTATAGAAGAGCTTGTTTTCATGCATTTGCCTCACCCTGAACTGTGAAACTTTTCTTCCTCGCCACAGCTGTTTGAAGCTTTTCAAATACTTGGAAATTGTCCATTTTGTTGGAGCCTGGATCTTGTTTCAGATTTTGTTTTTGATATGGAATGGGTGACGCCTCAAGTTGGTGTGCCAGTCCACTGTGCGCATGGCCTCATTGCGCTGGCTTGTTCTTATCCCCAGGAGACACCGCCTCTTTTGTGTACCCGCCATCTTTTCTATGTAGTTTGAATGACATCTGTGGGTGGCACATTTCATAGCTGTCTGAATTACTAGTTGCATTCTTCTCTGATACATTTTCTGCCGTGGTAATCTTGGCTGTCAGTAACCTGGGGCGGAAGGGGATATCTGCTCAGTATTCTACAAATACAAGGCTCCCTATGTTCCATGTTTCACAGATTATGGAAGAGGCATGTTAAATCTGTTTTGGGTGCACTGTGTCTAGCCAGCCTGGCGTGAGAAAAATTGCATGAATGGAAAACAGCTTGCTGTGTTTTATCACTGACATCAACTGTTGCACATTTTAAAGGAAGCAGAGGGTAATGGTTAAAGTAAAGCTATTCAGTCTCTCTTCAGCGCTGTTGTATCAAGGACAAGAACTCTGAGGTCAAGGAAGCTGAGGGCTCTTTTTATCTACTTACACTTCAGCTCCAGTTGGAAAACTAACGAATACATTTTAAATAGACATTTATTTTTTTAACTGCCTCTTTTCAGAGGATACTCAAGTAAGTAAAGTACAGCTTCAGTTTACGGATAACCAGAAATAACTCCAGTACAGGAAACCTAAATAGGAAAAAAAAAAAAAGCTTGTAATTACAGTTAAAATACACTTAACTTTAAAACTAAAGCAATTTAATAATAATTTGGAGAGCCTTTCCCTCAGCCATTTGGTGCAAGGAACAAGGTGAGGTTTGAATAGAGGGCAAAATTAGCAATGTAAATACCAATACAAATAAACTATAAGAAATTGGCAGAAAATTTAGCTGGCCCAGCTACCATATTATTTATTTTTTGTATGTTTTCTTCCAGGGTTATCACATATCCATGCTGAGTCCCTCTTTCTGTTGTACTTACTATCTTTTCTGTTAACCTGTATTTAAAATAACAAACAAAAAATCCTCTGAAAATGATTTACACAAAATAAAAGCTACTCCACATATGCTTTAAAAGTATCTCTTGAGCCCGGTGCTTTCATGAGTAGGGTTACCATATGTCCGGATTTTCCCGGACATGTCCGGCTTTTTGGGCCTCAAATCCCTGTCCGGGAGGAAATCCCAAAAAGCTGGACATGTCCAGGAAAATAGGGAGGGAGGGGTTGTGGGGTTTGGGTCCGGGCCGGAGCCGGGGAGGCCAGCGGTGCTCGGCCGGGGGCCAGAGCTGCTGGGGTCAGCGGTGCGCCGCTGGGGCCGCCGGGGCCAGGGCGGGCCGGAGCCGCTCGGCCGGAGCCAGGGCCAGGGCCCGAGCTGAGCTGGGCGGGAGATGTCGGGGCCAGAGCCTCTTGGCCTGGGCCAGCCGGCCGCCACAGGGGAGCCGCTCGGGCC